AATTTTGGCCACCAAATTGAATGTACCAAATAAAATCTACGAATTCTCACCGTTACAGTGGCCCTCGCTTTCGATGGATGGGACAAGCTGCGATTTGTATGCATCTTCGACAAATGCTGAGATAGACTCCACAAATTTATTGAAATATAATTATATTTTATAATTTTCATCTATTCATTGCATGAAATTTTAATTTTTTTTATAATTATTACATGAAAAATATAAAATATTATATATATTTCCTAAGTAAACATGAATACCAAGATATGGATATTCAAAAGCTCAATGATAGATTGATTAAATTTCAAACAAATCGCAACAATTACTATATCATTTTCTCCAATTATGAAGCACGATTCTCCAATTATGTTAAAGTAGAAAACATATGTAAAATTATAATTCGTACCTTTTTATTATTAATTTCATATTTTATTTTAATACATATCCTAACTTAAATTCCATTTGATTTACAACTTACTATTAGCATCGGTCACGTCACTATTTAAGTTAGGTATGCTTCCAACGCTAGCTACTGTTGCCAAACATGTAATAACTAATATTGCACCATTTTTTTTCTCTTTTTAAATGACATTGTCGTTGTTGAGGAGTAAAATGAGTCAAACATAAAGAGATGAAATAAAGACAATGATTTTCTTTTAAAAATGGCTAAACTTGATGGCATTGCAAGAGAACAAGCCAAAAAAACATCCTAAGCACGTTATTATTTTAACAAAGTCTTTGAACTTGAAGGAGAAAAGATTAAGTCCACTAGGGATTAGTACTACTAGTATTTAATATTGTCAAGTTTGTATATATACATAACGAATGAGCTAATTAACAAGCATAAGGTACAATAATGCCTTGGAGAACAAGATGGGGTTGACCAAAGTATATGACTTATGTTGGGAGAAAATATATCCTCTTGAACTTGTGATAATGATTAGGGATTCATTATGATAGAATAAAAATATGATAATGTTTTTATCTTAAAATAATAAATTAGATACATTGTATATTTATAACTCGATTCTCTTGTGTAATTAAATTTACACTAAATAAAAGTATATGATAAAAAATGATTATATTTTAAACATCATCGTTTAAAGATTAATTATCTGCTAAAAAAGATCAAACAGATTGATCATTCAAATGATATGCAATAAAATTATCCAATTTATTACTGTTAAACTGATGGAATGTTATATACATAAAAATCATATAAGGTATTCCTAAATTTGCTTACATCATTTTCATGGGATGCTTGCACCAAATACAAAATGGACGTGATACCATATTGAACGATGCTTCTTAATGACCAAAGTTGGTGAACTGCAAGTCACAGATGTTGATGGCCATACTAATGTACATTGCGTTCGTATCCAACTTGGTCGGCAAATATTTAAGGTAAAATTAAGGTTGTTTTAGTTAGTTTTAGTTAAAATATACATGAATTTACTGTGAGAAAATGATTTAAAAGAATAAAAATTTAGAAAATATAATTTTAAACACATACAAGTTTAATCTGTTTGATGTAATTACATTTTTTAATAATTTATACAGTAGTTTATATAACTTATAATGTAATTCTAATTAAAAATTTAATATGATAATTGTTAAATATAAAATATGGAGTATATAATTATAATACAATTATAAAAAAAATACTTTTTTTCTAAATAAATTAAACAACAGGTCAAAAACACTAAAAAGAGATATGTCAAAGACATTACGTTAATGCTTTATAAATCATTAAGTGTGTGAAAATTTATATATTATGTGAGAATCATGAAATTCAAAGTTCATGAAAAAATAATTTCATGAAATTCAAAGTTTATAAAAAAATAATTTTATAAACATAAAATAAAAAATATAAATTTCATAATAAAATAAATATAACATCTTGACCAATATCTTGCGGCTAAAATTCACAAGGTTGAATCAAGGTCTAAACCTTGATTTTACGACTATTGGTCGGTGCAACAATAGCTCAAACAAATATAAATATATAATATCAATTTTATTTTATTTATTTATCTAAAAATTATTATATATACTATAAATTTTATCATTTTTTAAAATTATTTAATATTTTTTATTATATCCTTTATTAGTACAGTCTCTCTTTAACTTTTGCTGTGGAAGTCAAACAAGATTGAAGCAAGATACTAAGGGCTTGGTTTTTTTAAAAATAATTTAAAAAAAAAACTTATTTGTTAATATAAATTTTATTTTTATTTTTTTTAAAATAAATTTTAAATTATTTTAAAATATAATTATAAAAATTAAAAATCAAAACATAAACAAATAAACCGTAATTTGTGTGCATTAATTGGTGCTGGGATCCGCTGCTTTTTAAAATTTTCCATTTTTGTTTGAATTTGAAGACTGAATTTGTTCAAATGGAAAGTGTGAAAATTAAGCTCTGTATTATATTATATTCCTTTTTAATTTGTTTCAAGCATTATTTTGCTCTACCTTTCTTTAATATTATAAGGCGCGTTTGATTGTGCCATATTTTCTTTAATTTATTTTTAAAAATTATCTTCATTTTCAATTTTTAGGATGTTAGGAATAATAATTATAAAAAATTCTCATAATTATTTTATTAAATTTAAGTAAGAAATGTTGATAACAAACTTCTTTTGTCAATACATTAATCGTTATGAATTATTTTAGTCTTTCAAATTATTTTTAAAACCCATTAATGCCACCAATTATTACTCATTATATATTTATAATGTTAAGAATCCATCGATTTGATCTTGAATTTTGACCAAAAAATTATGGTCATTTCAATCCTTAGGTGGCTTGTTTGATCATTTCAAATTGATAAATTGACTAATTTTACAATGGTAGAAAGTATATAAATTAATAGTGCTAATATTAAGTACTAAATTAACTGAAAATTATAAAAATAAAGGATTATATCAATTGATATTTATAATTTGAGAGATTAAGTATATGTATTATTCATATTTAATATCTCTTTATACTTCAAAGGCAAAATTATTAAATGACTGATATTTTCTGAAGTAACACCTTACCGACCACGAATTATAAATGGCATTGATATATTTCCAAAAAGAAAATAAATGGTCGGCACACACACAAAATATACACACAGACACACGCATGAATGCTAAAACAGGCAGTTGAAAATTAAAAAAAAATTAATTAAATTAATATAAATTTAAAAATCTTTATATTTATTTAAATTTTTTATTTGATTTATATTTAATAGCTAATAAAATAATAAATTATAATTTATTAAATATAAGTTAAATGAAAAACTCAAATTAAGTAGAAAATTTTTTAATTTTATATTAGTATGAAAAGATTTTATTTCTAAAAAATATTATATATATATAATAAATATTAAAAATAATATTAATAAAATCAATTATTTATATGAATTATAATTTAATTGCATATATTCTTAAATATTTTTATATTTTAAAATTTTAAATAAGCTAAACCATTAATAAGTAATTTTCACTGTGTTCCTTATAAATCAGTTATATGTTCTCTTAAGTAAGAAATAATTATTTTTATTAATTTTATATTAATAGATAATAAAATTAGTAATTTATTTAAAAAATATAAATATCTTTAATCTTTAAAATATTAAAAAATATAAATGTTAATTTTTAAAAAAATATATAATCTCTTTTCAAATTTACAATAACATGCACTAAATTAGTATTTTTAATTCGTTTAAAAATAAGAATGAGTTAAAATAAACTCACCTAATGCTTACAACGTGTATATGAATTTACATACGACTGTTCTGTTTTAAAATCTCTGTTAAATATTCTAAAGAAAATTTTTATTACCGATAAATATTATTCCTACAACCTGTGCTATAAATAAAAAACAAATATAATATAAAATAAAAATATTTAAATGAAAAGTAATATTAATTTTGATATCATAAAATATCGTATTCGAAGTGTACAAAATAGGAGTAAGTTAGAAGGGAGAAAATGACTCCATCTCGTGAATTACCCGCCAAAGGGCCTTTCTCTCTCAGTCACTGTGTTGGGTGCGTCTCAATTCCATTCAACGCTTCAATTGCTTTTGCTGCCTTCATCTCAAGCAACCACTAAATTTTCTTTTTCAAAAACGAATTAATTAAATTTAAGAAAATCGAAATTAAATAATGACATCATTATAATTCTTGAGCCATTCATTCCATTACCAACCAAACCGAACTACGTTAATATAATAAACACTCCGTCACGTTCCCTTCACCTTCCTCTTTTCCTTCTTCTTCTTCGTTATATCGTTTCAGTTGGTATTTTCGTAAATATCACGAAGTTTGAATTTCCCCAATTTCTAGGGTTTCACTTCCAGAAACCCTATTTTGTTGCCTTCCCTCCAATTCTTCCTCCTAATTTCGCTTGGTTTAAGGTCTGCATGCTTCTTCCAATTTTCTTTTTTCTTTTTCTCTGTAAACTGAAGGGAATTTGGTGAACAAAATTATCCAAGAAAAAAAATTAGTGATTGAATATGCTTGTTTGATTTTAACGGTTCTTGATTCTTGGCTTGTTCATTCAATTTACTTCTTGTTTATTTAATTTTTTGGGGGGAACTCGGTTTAAAGTTCCAGTGTTCAATTTTCAACACTTGAGTTTTGCATTTCTGTTGCTGGTTGGTTACGTACTGCTATTATCAAATTTGGGCTTCAATTGTGATGAGCTGGGTGAGGAATGGAACTGAGTTCTTTGTTTGACATCTTAAACCAGAAGAATTTATTTCAATTAAGAAATTAACAGAATAGTGTGATTTCATGGTGTCAAAGCAGACAATGCCTGTGTTTTATTAAAGATTTTCTTATTTGACTCTGAGGTACAATAAAACATTTGCATGTGACAGGATTGTTACAGCGGTTAAGCATTCTCTCACTTAGCTTCAAAGGAGTTCCTAGGCCACAGTTTCAGCTGTTTCTGAATTTGAATATATATATAGATCGAGATATAAACATTCTTTTTTTTGGTCTTTGGGGTTACGGTAACATTTGGCGGTTAACTTTTAAATGCTTGGTGGTTAAGTAAATTTTCTTAATAGGATTTTATTTTTTATTATTATTAAAAAGAGTTTGCATTGTGAACAGGTTACCATTTTTCTTGAGGAACTTATTTTTATGCATCTTTCACCGAGTATAATTCAATTGTAAAGCATGCAATGATCATGGAGAACTTTAGACTTTTATAATGAATTTGGAAAGTTAGGAGTTCACGTGTTTGACTGTGGCACCATTGCATTTGTTGAAACATTACTCTTTGAATCCATGGTCGTGGTTGGAAGGGGGATATGTCGCTTAAGTCTAGTGGCCTAAAATAGATGGGTATTTGTTTCATTTGCTAATACCTTTTTTCATTGAGGCTATCATTGTTTGAGTAAGATGAGAATAAGGAGGTGGAAATTTTGAAATGAAAATCACTTCTTGCTTGCCTGTTCAAAAAAAATAAGGGAAAGCTGAAAAATGGAGTGCAACTTACGACAAATTCTGGCCTCTCCTATAGAAAGAAAGTGAATTAAAAGTGATTTCCCAATTCCCATTCTCTACCAAGCACCAGAGAATGAAAGTCAAAACCCTTTCCATTTAACTCCATTTTTACTCCCCTCCTCGTTTTCTGCATATTTGAATAAGCATTGTCTAAATCAAGTTCATCTGACTATGTTGTTTCCTTTCATCATTTATTGAATTTTACTTTACATCACCCATTATTTTATTATCGTTTATATGATATAGCATCATCTGTAGTAAATGGATCTTATGAAGACTATAATTTACTAATGGCGTCTGTTGTGTGTTGTGAATTAAACCAGTGAATACATGTCATTAGATTTCACTGTGTTAAGACTTAAGATGAATAAACTAAATACATAATATGCAGATGAGAATATGTATCTCCTCCTTCCAACCTGATGAAAATAACAAGAATGTTAAATAAGTTCTTGATGCACAGTTCTTACATCAATATCTTTTGCCAGTTCCCTCTTATCCATCCAGTTCATCATGTCAAGTTTGGAGGAGCCACTTGGCCTTGACAAGTTGCCTAGCATGAGTACCATAGATAGAATCCAGAGGTTCTCGTCTGGTGCTTGCCGTCCTACAGTAGATAATTTGGGCATGGGATGCTGCTGGATTGATGGAAGAAGTTGCAGTACATCAAACAGCTGCGAGTGAGTCAAATATTGCAAAATACTATAAGTCAACACTTCTGCATTTATTTATTTATTTATCATTTAAGCTCTTTTTAGTCCTCTTTTAGATTTCTTCCGCATTTGGCATAATTATTTAACCTATTTCTGCTCCATATCCATAACATTACCTTAAGTTTATCTTGGTTGCAGTGAAGATGATGAAGAGTATACAGCAGAGACATTCCCGTGGAAAAGGCAAACGAGGGACATGTCTCGAGGTGGCTCTTTCAGTCAAAAGGCTGCGACCTTTGGGAGGAACTCGATGAAATTTGGAATGATTGATAATTCATTTGGCACATCAGATCACCATTATAGTGCAAAGAGCAATAACAAAAACATACAGGATGTGGCATATAAGGTAATGCAATGGCTGAAGTACTTTTTGTCTTAGGATTTCTTTCCAGCTACTAAATTTGTCATCTCTGTCTCTTTTTGTGTTTTCATTTTAAATTTATGTTGTTCATTTTATGCTTTCAGTAGTTGGTTGGTTTTATCATATTTCTTTGGCTGGTAAGTAATATACATACAATTTTTAATGCAGTTTATGAAAGGTATACCAAAATTTGTAAAGATAGTTGAAGTTGGTCCAAGGGATGGATTACAAAATGAGAAGAACATTGTGCCAACAGCTGTAAAGATTGAATTGATTCATAGATTAGCATCGTCAGGGTTATGTGTCATTGAGGCCACTAGTTTTGTATCTCCCAAATGGGTCCCACAGGTATAATGGCTTTAGCATATTTATTTAACTTGATATTGAGAAGAATGATTGTTGTGGTAAACTTCCTCTGAGGTGCATTTATGTGAAATGAGTTCTAGCTGAATATCCTTTCTGAACTAACTTATTTTTGGTGTGATTTGAGTTTTACCCACTTGAATGTCATTCTGTTTCTGTATCTTCCAGTTGGCAGATGCAAAGGATGTAATGCAAGCAGTTCATAACCTGGGAGGCATCAGATTGCCAGTTCTGACTCCTAATTTAAAGGTGCAAATAACTGGAACAACTATAAATGGGCAGATTTTCATTCAGATGTCTGATCTGTTACATTTATAGGGTTTTGAAGCTGCTATTGCAGCTGGGGCTCGAGAAGTAGCTGTTTTTGCATCAGCTTCTGAATCATTCTCAAAATCAAACATTAATTGTAGTATTGAAGAGAGCCTTGCTCGCTATCGTGCTGTTACCCGTGCTGCTAAAGAGCTCTCAATTCCTGTTCGAGGGTATGCTTTTTGTTTTTCCTTCATTATTCTAATCATCCATCCATACTCCACTTCAATATCTTTTTAAATGTGCATTTATGCATGAGAGAAAGCATTTTATTCTGTTTTTCATTTTGATATTTTCTGAAGGATTTGCATTTATTTTCCTTCAATTTCGTTTTTATTCTGGGGGTGGGGGGTAGTACTGGATAATTAATTGAACAATTTGTCTTACATTGATTGATATGCTACATGTTCTGTTCCAGGGCATCTATGTAATCAGTTTTCTATATTTTCTTCTCCATTGCTTTCTATATATTACTTTTTAAACCTGTGATACAATACAACCAATATTGATGTTCAAGCAGAGGTAAGTTTTGAAAGACAGAAATTTATCTATGCAAATTTTAACCCAAATATTTATAAATTTATTTATAGACTAAACTAGTACCAATACTTATGAAGCAAACAAAATTTTTTAATGATATTAACTTTATACATACCAAACATTAAATAACTTTATATGTGAACAAAGTATTTAGTTAATAAGTCAATTAAAATGATGTTGAATTAAAAGCAAATAGTTTAGTCAAATAAGGTGAACATAATATTATAAGTTTTTTTTGTACACTATATTTCACTCACCTATTTAATTATGTTTATTTTAATCTTGTTTCTCTGTCTGTCTTGACAATTAATTGTATGCAAAAAAGAAAAAGAAAATCTAAAAAGTTGTTCAAGATTAAATAATGTTTGTTAAAAAATAAATATAGAAATCAGCAAAATATTAGAAGATTCCATAAAATTTATGTACAAGGGAATGGAAAGTTTGTATGCACACATCCACATGCATTGTTGAACTGAATAATAGTAGTAGGGATGCTGTATTAGGAATTGTTTAAATGGTAGATTCCCTCCCTTCACCATTGATTGGTGGCATTGTTGTCATTTTAACATCATTTTTCTTCCCCGATCATTATTCTTATTGCTGTCCCATAAGATCCTAAATTTTATGAAATATCTCTCAATCTCTGACTTTTAACATTTGTATTTGTATTGATATTTTGATATTATTTTGTTTAAGTAAGTTAATTTTTGGTATCAGTGAAGACCCTTCTTGGTGTACATTAAAAAGGCAACCAGGTCAAGGTCTAAAATTTAGACATGAAAATCCCATTTGTGTTGTTGATAGCGTAAAATTTTATTAACACAGAATTTATGTTTCTGTTCTGCTTATTCCTGTCAGTTTCTCTGTATTCAAATTTCATAGGTATGTATCATGTGTTGTTGGATGCCCAGAGGAGGGGCCAATTCCTCCATCAAAAGTGGCATATGTAGCTAAAGAACTATATGATATGGGTTGCTTTGAAATCTCCCTCGGGGACACAATTGGAGTTGGGACACCAGGTAATGAGTTGGATGCCTCTCTTTCTGAAAAAATTTAAGCTATCCTGGTCCAGTATTTCTGGTTACTTACTCTTATTTTGTGATGATAAGGTTCTTTATTCTTGTAAAGGTTCTTCTGAGTATGAACATGATAAGGTAGGGGTGTCTTTAGTGCTCTGTTTTTCATTTTGGTCTGAAGACTCAGAACAGCCACCATCAATCATGATGAAGATTTCAAATCTTTATGGATATTCTGCTACAATTTGCTAAGTTATTTGTCCTTAGTTATAGGAATAGAGTTTGATAATATCCTGTGGTGCTTTGGCATATTGCTTAACTTACATCACCACATTTTTCATTGGATCTCACATTTAACTGCTGATTTTTCAAAAATTATTTTTACTTCTGTATGTTCAATTTCAGACTTTCTTCCATAATGATGTAAAAGCTCATTGTATCTTTGATTCTGAGAAGTGTGCTTTTGTCCCTTATGTTAATTTGTTCAATTACCCAAGCCCCATAAATTTATTCTGTGGAGTATATAATTCCATCCTTTTTGGAAAACTAATTATAACTGTAAACTAGAACTTCATTGAGACATTTCATCGGTTATTCATCCATATCTTCTACATTTTCTTCTTTTTCCATTCTAAGACAACAAACATGTTGCCTTTCCTACTTTCCTACTCTCCCTCCTTGTCCAAAAGAAAATCTGGCCATGCAGTAAGTTGTCAAGCACAATTACTCATGCCTGTTGCACGCAGAACATATCCTTTATTTTTGAACTTTCTATATAATTGTCTAATCTTTAGTATCAAAAACATTTGTTTGTAATTTATACCTCTATCTGTGTTGTTTTGTTATGAGTTTTAAACTCTTCACGTTTTGGAGGCATCTAACATATCGATTCTATTTCCTGATTACTTTCTGCATCCTGTTTTCTTTATGCTTATTTATTGATTCTTGAACCTCAGTCCTCACTGCTAATCAAATTCTTTTCTTTAACTAAAGGGAGACTGTTTTCCAATGTTTGTTGTGCTTAACAGTAAAGTAAATAATGTCAGTTCTTGAGGGATGAAAATTGCACTATGTGCTTTGTCTCTGTAATATAAATATTCTTTAAACGTTTTCTATTGGTTACTCACATATGCTCTTTGTACTTATTTTGTTTTCTGTTCATTCTGTTGTGATCAGGAACTGTAGTTCCCATGCTTCTGGCTGTAATGGCTGTTGTACCAGTAGAGAAACTTGCTGTCCACTTCCATGACACTTATGGGCAATCACTTTCAAATATTCTTGTGTCCCTCCAAGTACGTCAACAAACTATTGCTTGAACTTCTGATTTGCTTGTTTATTGATTCAGTTTGTTGAGCTTTTATACACGTGATAAAAGTTCTAAACTGGTTTACTAACTAACCATTGAACAAATATAATTAACACTCTTTACCATATATGAACAGTTTATTTTCTTCCTTAGGCTTTGTTTGAGAGTTTTAATGGAGGGCCAAGGGAAAGGTTTGAGGTGTAAGAGAGGAGAGGGGAAGGAAGAAAGGAGGGTTAACAAAACATCCTCTAATTTGGAGAACTTAAAAACATGAGTTTAGCAAGGTTTTGGGAGGGTTTATAAAAATCCTCTCTCATTTAAAACTTTCAAACAAGGGTTTCTATCAAATAAGTCTTCCCCTTCTCTTCCTTCCCCCTCCACTCCAAAAAAATAAGAAATTAACTCCCAAACAAAGCCTTAGAATTTAGATTTGTATAAACATGTTTAAACATGGCCTGTATTTTATCTTTGTTGTAATGGGCCTTGTTGATTTGTGTCTAAACAGATGGGAATTAGTGCAGTGGATTCTTCAGTTGCCGGTCTAGGTGGCTGTCCATATGCTAAGGGAGCTTCAGGAAATGTAGCTACTGAAGATGTTGTGTACATGCTGAATGGACTTGGTGTGAAAACCAATGTTGATCTTGGAAAGCTCATGTTAACTGGGGACTTCATCAGCAAGCATTTGGGGCGCCCATCTGGCTCGAAGACTGCCATTGCATTTACCCGAGTCACAGCTGATGCTTCCAAGATATGATAACATTGTACCATACAAAATTATATTTAGATGCTTCATGCAATGCCAGGAAATTATATGTTTCATCTTTTTATCCCCCTATAATTATAAAAGAGGAATAAAATGCCCACTCACGTGATAGTTGGGAAGGAAGAAGTAACGCATGTAATCTGCCAATAGTAAGTGCAAGCTTTTCATTTGAGTGTAAGCTTGCAATTTTTATCTAAAATTGTTTATTTTCCTGTCTCACATCATGCGTTCATTGTGTATGGTGTTTAGTTATACTATGTATGACCCTATTAGAATTCTGAAAAGATCAAAGAAAACAAGATAACCAAAATTATTTTAACCCTGTTATGTGTTAACCTAATTTTGACCGTCTCTGCTTTTCATTTATTTGTATGTTGGTGGACGGTTACTTGTCGTGGAAAAGTGATTGTCCAGCTAACTTTCATTGACTTAAAGTAGTTTGTTGGCTGCTATGTATGGTTTGGAGCAAAAGGATTCACGTTTGAATTGCCAAATGCGTTTTCGTAAGTGTGAATTTACTTTTGGCCGCTCAATGTGCTTGTTATATTTTAACTAGATAAGTGGTATATTGTTGCTGGAAAATTAAGTTATGGTATACACTGTAGAAAAATTCTTAATCTGAATGCTCTTTTTTGTAATACTTGTACGCAAATTTCACCAACACAAGCTAGACAATTGCTGTCGCATTGCCGCAAAAGTAACTCTAAGTAAAATCAAATTTACAAATTAAGTAAATTAGGATCAAATTGAGACATATATTCAATAGTGCTTGGGTTAGTAAGCAAAATTTTTGAATAATTTTGATTTTGTAAAATTGATTTTAGTTAAAACAGATTTTTATTCTAAATTATGGGATTCTTTAACATGAGAAAATATTTCTAGTATGGGACTAACTTTTTTGTGGGAATTGTTTTATATACATACAAGACTTATACTTGGATCTTGTTTAAGGGTAATTATATCTTATTTGAACCAACTACCCACCGGTTAAAACTGAATTTGTAGGGGAATAATTTGTTTAGAAAAAAAATTTCTAAAGAAAATTGTAATACATTTCAATGTAAAATTCTTATTCCCACATGCTATCAGATACTAGTAATGAGTCTTTAATCATCATTGTTATTGTCATTTGGGAATCAGCATCAGGATTGCTTTCTAAAATTAGACCCCTCACGTATGCCTATTTATTTAAGAAATCTATCTAAAGCTTGAGGTAATGTTTATTTTAAGAGATCCATGGCTAAGACGAAAACCAGGCCATCCATTTTCTTTCTCTCTTTCTTTCTTTTTATTGCCATAAAGTTACACATATAGAATCAAAAGAAAGGGAAGCGTGGGAATGAGAATAAGTCTAGAATCACAAGCCTTGACAACTTTCAAGTTGAAGCATGAGCCACGACTTTGACCAGTAAAAAAAGGGAACCAAAAGCAATCAGCAAAGTCAGAAAAAGACATGGATTAATTTATTTTGCTTGTGCAACAATTTATTTTCTGGCACTAATGATAGCCCTTGTGGACTCGCCAAATAATCTGATGAGAAATGTTAAAACACTCTCAAATCATTTAGTTAAAATTTATTAAAAATTATAAAAATCACTTAGATTTTACTCAATTTAATATTTCTCATCATATTTTTATAGTTTTCAATAAATTTCAGTCAATAATTAAGTTTATTCTCAGTACTCCTTGTAGTTTGATTCTTTTTTCAATCAGCTTGCTCACAGTCAAAGGTTCAAAGTGGATTAACTCCTTAAGAAAATGATCACTTAGCTCCCTTCACAACCTCAACTTTGATGGGGTGGGTGCCCCTCATCATGATGATGATTTCCCTTTTATAATGCCAAAAATTTAAGTTTTGTGAGTGTCATACATCTGTATAACAGGCACAGTAAGCATTGATGAAAACAGAAGTGCATGATGACATTTAAGGGTGTTTCACATGTTATAGATATTTTGTTTCCATCTTAAGATATGCATTATATTTAACAGGATACATGCAGTGTTGCAGGAAGCTATCTAGGACATAATCACCCAATGACACAAACTTGGAATTCACTTTCCAAAAAGAATAAAAGTACTTATAATATAACACTGCATCTTCTTTATATGCACACACATAATACATCTCAATTTGTATTGATGTTAAAGTTGCTTCACCTACTTTTATTTATTTATGTATTTATTTTGGTTTCTTTTACACTCAAACAAAGTCACTTGTGCAGTTGTGCCAGGTGTACATAGTCGTGCAATAGCTGTTAGTGTACCAATGCAGGGGAATACATTGTTACTTAAGCTGCATTTGTTTAATATGCTAACAAAATTAGTGATAAAATGTCAATCTTGGTAGAGTAGTTAGATAATCACTTCCTATTTTCCCATTTAATGATTATAGACATTCATGCAACTACAGGTAAATGAAGATACTTGTTATAAAAACATGTCACCACATTGCAAAAATAAATAAATAAATAAATAAATAAAGGCATTAATGAATGAAAAGCATGTAATCTACAAAAGTAGATTTTTTCAATATATTATACCAAGTTTAAAGGTTATAAATCTAAGAGGGCCCTTCAATGGGATGGGGAGAAAATAAATTAAAAACTTTCCAGAACCTAAAGCAATGAGCTTTTTCATTTGTGTAAAGTGAATGAAGACAACATCATTCTTTGTTAGGAAAAGATCCATGTATTCGTTGTCCACATTTGCATGGCCCATTTGTCAAATCCCCACCTGTTTGATCAAATTCATTTTTTCCCCCTCTAGTTAAACTTTATACCCTACAGAAAAGCAGCATATTTTGTTTTCTTGGGAGCAAACGCTATACTTCTATGCTAGAATGAGTCTAATTAATGTGGATTCAACATTCCTAAATTGAAGAGATATATCAAGTAAGAAAATAAAAGTGTAACTGTGATAAATTTAAATTGACTTATGTTTACAAAAAAACTATTCAAAATAATGACAAATTCTTTTTTTTTCACTTTTACATCTATTTTAGATGAACAAATCCTTATGATACATGCACCTAATTAAAGAGAATTGTCATCAATGATTACTCACATGAAATTATAACAGCTGACATTAACATTAGCATTATTTGATGTCATCCAAGCACCCAATTACTATGAAGCCTAAAACCCTGTTTAGCAGTTGACCAACCTTCTGGTTTGCATAATCTCTTTGAAACTTGCACCTTACGTTTGTATATGACCAACCCAATTACCTCTGTTTTCTTGTATATTGATACTAAAACACTAATTCCCTTTTCATCTTGGAGATTCCACCTCACAAAATTTATTCTATAGATCAAAACCTTTGGAGCTAAGACAGATGAAGACTATTCATATTCAAATGAACTATTTGCTGTCATGTTCTAAGGAATACATCTTTGCGAGTTTTTTAATCTCAACGAAGATGAATTAATTACCTTTAACTAGATTGAATAAATAAATTTCATTGTAAAACGTCAAGGAAATTACAGATTGAAAATGAATAAAACTTAGATACAATACCTTACTTGATTTTTAAAGTGTTCTTTAATTAAAATTTAAGCTTTACTTTGATAATTAATATAATAAGGTCAGGATTAAAGGTCGACATTAATTTTTAAGATAAAATGTTAATTTTAATTATATAACGTCATTAAAAGCGGTTAAGATACAATAGGTAAGTTAGATAAACAGAGTTATTCAAAGGGTCTCTTTTTTTTCTCTCAAGCAGTAAGTATATGTATGCATCATGGGTGAATTCATAGCAGCATCACCCTCACCTTGCCAATAGATGCAAGAAAGATCCTCTTCCACTCCCTGCTTTCTCTCTCTCTGGTTCATTGTTGTTTCCCAAGTAAAAAAAGTGGCTCTGAAATCTGCATCCAAACAAAGTCTGCACCATATTTATTTGCAATAAAGCACCAACCCCTATGCATATTGACTCACCCCTCATTGACCATCCTCATTTTCAGAGCTCAGACATCAAGGTTACACCACATCCAATTAAAAAACAGACAATTCCCAAACATGTCTTGGCCAAAAACAACTACTGAATGAAAAGGGTGCCAAAAGGAGGCAAAAGGAAACTACATCAGATCTCATTGTATCACCTCCTTCAAACAAACAACAACACCTTTCTCTCTGCTTCCTTTTCTCAGGGTATGTTTGGTTACCCCTTTTGAATCAGATCCAAAAAGAAAAACTTGTTTTGATTTTGTTCTTTATGGACTTTTGAGCCTTGAGAGTTGAGACCATGAGACTTACGGGTCGCGCTTGTTTCTCTCTACTACTGTTGCTTCTATTGCTGTTCCAAAGCTTCTTTACTACTACTGCTACTGAGTATGCAAAATTTCAAAACTTTGAAACTGGGTCTGTGTCAAAGCGTAGTCCTATTCAAGCCAAACAAGGTTTTAGACAGAATTCAGGTGAAGGTGGTAGCGAAGGAGTTCTGGGTGGTGATGAAAAAAGGAAAATCTACACAGGTCCTAATCCTTTGCATAACAGATAAGTGGAACATTTATTTAGAGCTTTTGATCTTTTCTTCTTTGTTTCAAGCTCTCTTATGTACATATTTATCTTCTTTTTTTCCATTTTCTTTTCGGGAGTTTTCCGCTTCTTCATATATGTTCCTATGAGTATTTTTCAATGATTCTCACATGTCCATAAGAATGTAGCTTTTAGTTACAAGTAACAACCCAAGATTTAAGAAAACAATTTTGACTTTTGAGCAATTTGTTTAGACTAATGTTTTTCCTTTGTCATATCCAATAAATGGGAAGATGCGATAGAACTGAAGACGTGTATGGTGTATCAATCATTTCTCAGCCATTAATGGTGTCCTTGTTGAAGTGACTGCTTAACATCTATAATAAAAATTTCCTTGTTTTTTCAAATATTTTCGTGCAATTCTACGTGGAATTTGGATTTATGCAAAAAGAGTGTACAATTTTACATGCTACCGGTTATTTGTTCAGCAGAAAATCTGTTAATCGTGATCTCATGTTTTAGAATCACATTAAAGCATAAGCTATATTTATAACGTATTTGGTTTTATGTCAAATTTTTTCAAATGTAAATTCATTTCAAATTGATGTTATGCATTTTATCGTGATCTCATGAATTTCTTAAACATGTTTAGAATTACGTTTACAAAGATATAAATCTATGCATTCAACCTAAGTTTAAAAATTGAATTTAAACACACAATTTAATCGAAGGGTAACCTTATTTTACTACGACGTTGTAGTACATGAATCTTGATGCTGTAACTAATCTCGTACCTCGATGCTCGATGAAATTGACAAAGAATAAGCGTCATGTAA